GTCAGAGGCAATAAACCGCCATAAAAAAGCAAATATATCTAGCCCATTAAGGCTTTATTTTGAATTTTTAAAATACTGAGTATTATATTTTTTCTTAAAAAAAAAATAACACGAATGTTAAGGGAGAGTTAAGGGGAAATAAAGGAAGAGAGGTAAACCTGAGCCCATCACTTAGGAATCATTGCTACTAACATTTTTGGTGTGTTTTAATTTTTCTGTTTAGTTTTTGCAAGGTTGCTGATGTTTTATAATGTTGAAATAAATGGGTATATGAGATATAGCCTGCATCTGGAATGACATCAGCATCTCCTACCATAATATTATTACAGAAGCTTTATTTGTTATCGGTGGTGGTGTGTGTGAGTGTGTGTATGTGTGTTCATCCTTATGCAGGTAAATGTGGAGGCCAGAGGTTAAGGTCAGAGACTGTTCCTTAGGAGCTCTCAGTCTTGTATTTTGAGACCTGTGTCTGCCTCTGCAGCACTGAGATTGTATGTGAGTTCTATCACACAAAGGCTTTCTAAGTGCATGCTGTGGCTTGAACTCAAACTTGCAGGGCAAGCCATTTTCTGGCTTAGGCATCTCCACAGCCCTTGAACTTTATTTCCAATGCCTGCCTCCTGTTCACGACAGCCCGCTTTCGTATCTGTGCTTGTCTGCAGGTAGTCCTGGGCATCGGGGAAGGAAGACCTACCAGTGTGATTTTATGTAGTCTTTGTCATTGATGCTATAGTTCTATAGTGTTCTTCTCCTTGTTAGTGGCTGGCTAAGGAGCAGGAAGACAGCTTGCTTTTTCAGACAAGAGACAGGGCAGGTCTACAGGTAGATTGTGTGAGAGGCTCTCAGTTCTTAAAAAGGAACACAAGGAAGCGGTCATCTTTTTCTGACTCCGGAATTTGTCTGATGAGGAAACCATGGGCTGGTGCATGGAACTGCTGCAGCCATCTTGTGGTCATTAAGGGAGCCCCAGTATACACAGTGAAGATGGAAAACCAGAAGAGTGGGGACAACTGAGTCCCACATTATCTTGTCACTTCAGTGAATGACAAATCCCTAGACCCTATCTTAAAACGTCTTATCAAATAGTAGAGAAACCCTCTATTGTTGAAGCTCCTACTAGTTACCTTTCCTGTTTCTTTCATTTAAAAACAGCCTAATAGATAAGGAATAATTTACTTTTTTTAAAAAAAAAAATGTTTTCTTGGGGGTGGCATGGAATTTTAAGTTTCCTTACAGTTTTTTTTTTTGTTTTAATTATCAATTTTTTTGGCTGTTTCAATAGAGAAAAATCACATGGCTTAGATAATAAGGTAATTTGTGTGGGGTGCAGGCAATAAGTAATAAAAAGAAGAAAAGAACAAGCATGAACTTGAACTATCTCAGGTCATCAGAGCTGAATCATTCTGCATCTCCACCCCCTTTATTGCTCATTCCTGTCATCAGCAGTAGCTATCAATGTCAAGTGACATGTTAGAAGGGGAAAATTGAGAAATACAGTCTCAACACACTGGTAAGTGTGAACACAAGTAATCCTCTGCAACACACAAGCGTTTGCAACTTATTACATAGTTTCGTCAACTTGTTCTCTTCCCTTATCACAATAATATTAAAATTATATGGTAGTAAGAAAAACAACTCATTCCATACTCATCTGCTATTAAGAATTTCTGTTGTTTATGCATAGTGTTAAGTCTAGATGTGTTGTCACCTGTGTTGACACTCTTCTGTTTCCCAAGCACCTCCCAGGAGCTGGGTGCTCATCCAGAGTTGAGACAGAAGTGTCTAACCAAATATTTAAGTGATGCAGCTCAAATGTTCTTACTAACATCTGACAAACGAACTGAAGAAATTCCCAGCATTAATTTTTATTTCATCAGCAGAGGCATTTGGGCCTATTTATAAATTTAGATTCTGAATTTGCCTCAGAATTCAATTTTGTGAAGTTTTCCTCTTATCCAATGATGTATTGCAAAATAACAATGCTAATCACTACAGTAATAAAGTGCATTTCAAGCTAAGTGCCCATAAAAGTACCTAGCACTCCCTCACAATTCCACACAGGCAACTGGTTACAATGTAATTAGTGTTCAGAAATGTTCAGATGATATTATCATCACAACTCGATGGTCATTTGTGAATGCTGTTCATTAATTTTTTTCTGCACTGTGGCTATGACTGGAGATCTTTCCTCCTCCAAGTCTTTTGCCAAGGCCATTGATTCATAAGTTGACTATGATAGAGGGTGTAAGGAAACACAGGTTAATCTGAAACACAAATAAAGACTCTAGTCTGAACTAAGAAAACAAAAATACAAAACGACCCAGCAGCTCTATTTCCCAAGACACAAGATCTGCCTTGTCCTTATAATGTCCTTGAAGAGTGTGTCACATAAGATTCATTTCCTGCATACTTAAACATAGAGGAGAAAAACCCTCAGAGTTTGGAGAGGAAACAACTATTCAGAATTTCACCTGGAATCATGAAGAACGTGTAGAGTCAATGGGCAGAGTAGATTGTAGTCCTGTCTGAGCCTAGATGGCCACTGGATTTAAGAGCTATTAAATTAAGCTCTATCACACAGATTTTAAATCAGTGGAGAAGTCAAGATTCCTAAAATGTGCTACTAAATGCATCAAGACAGAAACAGATAACGAAAACCAGGTTGGGTGTGGTGGCTCATGCCTGTTACCCCAGCACTCAGGAGGCGGAGGTAGAAGGATCAAAGCCAGTCTGGGCTACAAAGTAAGTTCTTGGCCAGCTTGGTTTGCAATGGAAGAAACCCTTGTCTTTAAATAAAACAATAGCAAAAATGAAACCAAAAATGTAGGGGCAACTGTCACAAGATTTGGCAACAGAAAAGCACACAACAAACATTTGTTAAATCAAGGAATAAGGAAATAAACTGTATGTGAATTGACCTTGACTTTTGAAATGGTGTGTGGATGGCTTTCTCTGTGCTTCCTCTCTCCCTGGTGAGTCTTATTTTGCCAATGAGAATAAATGCTGGCTCTATCAATCTTCAGTAGGGACCTTCAGGATATGTTTGCAGCCTGGTAATGGGCAAGGGTCATTCTTTTGTAATTTATCCAACCTCTGTGCTGCTGAACTGTGACACTTGTAGTATGTAGGGGTGGGTGGCACTGTGAATCTGGCTACATGGAAAAAGCCTGAAAGATTGGTGTGTGTGTGTGTATGTGTGTGTGTGTGTGTGTGTGTGTGTGTGTGTGTTGGGGAGGTTGTCTTTAGGGACAATTGATGTTAATCCTGCCCTGAAGTATTTAAATCTTCCATGTCAAGGCAGGCAGAATCTTGAGAGTAAAGAGCTGGGGTAGGTCACAGAGTTAATTCTGTACAAACAGCCATTAATTCCTCTAAACACACACACACACACACACACACACACACACACACACACACACACACCACTTCATTCCTAACCCTTCCTAGGGAAGGCTCTGAGCTTTCTTTTTTCTGGGGATGCATTTGTGCTGGGCTATAAACAGAGACAGGGGAGGTGATAGTTGCTGTAGAGAATCGAACCCCTGTGAGACCAAGAGATGACTTTCATCCAGCCCCCTTGAAAGATGGGGGACAGATGAGTCTAAAATGCTTTGAAACCCCTTGGGGAAACTGTATCAAACAGGCACTGGTGAGAAATCTTATCTTCAAATCCCCACCTATCGTTCTGGAGGATCCTAAGGTGTCAAACGAACAAAGGACTTGTTGCTAGATATTCCCTGAAGGTTAGGCGACCCATCCTTGCACAAATAATATAGTTTGCTCAATTCAGCCTGTTTTTCAGTATTAAACTATTTATGAGCTCTGACTGGGCCACTGGGCCACAGGATCATGATCTCTAAATGGTGTCTTTTTGTTTTGGCACCATTCTGCTGTTGACCTCCACCCAGAACCTTCCCCAAATCCCACCAACTTCCGGGATGCCACTGTCCTAGAGTCCTATGCTCCAGAGCTACTTGGGAAACACTGACGAGCTTTAGAAGGCTATCACATATCAACTACAAGGACTAGCCTACACTTGACATTTTCCCAAGGGCAGAACTTGGCCAGTGACCTCACTCACTTTGCTTTGTGGAGAAATCCTAACCTTCTGACAGAATTGATCTCCACCCTTGGAAAGAAATATTGTGTGCAAACACAAGTGTGGTTTCTCTTTCCTCCTCTTTCCCCATCCTCCCTAACTTCCTGTGCTGCTGCTGGAGAATTTTACACTCATCCCCCGAAGGCAGGATAAAGTCTGTGTTTATAGTAAGAAAGCTTGGTGTTCAAAGTCTAATAGTAGGAGAAGCTGCCCACCATAAACTTGGACAACAGGTCAAGGACTTCCAGAACACGAAGCTCTTCTCGTGGAGTGTTTCTTGCCATCAGGGCCTTCCAAGGGTTTAACAGCGAACGATGTGTTGTCAGCAATGGTTACTATAGTATACTTACCTGAAGGAATAAAATTACTAAACATAGAGACTGGAATAAACAAGAGGGGCAAGACCCCAAGGCTATTCAATTGTATGTAGTTGATTCCATTTCAAAATGCCACAGTACAAAAAGAAAGAAAGAAAGAAAGAAAGAAAGAAAGAAAGAAAGGAAGGAAGGAAGGAAGGAAGGAAGGAAGGAAGGGAAAAGGGAAGTGCTCAAATTTTATTAAGAGAACTGGAAGTCCTGCTTTTAAACCCTAGGAATGAAGAACATCTTCCCATTGAATCTTCAGGACTTGTCCACTCCTCTGGGAAGCCAGGGGAAAAACAGAAGTTTGACTAGCATGCAGACTCATGAAACTCAGAAACAGGAGAAATTTTATTTTGAAAATACAGTCTTTAAAAGATAAATTTGGCTTCCATTTTCCATGTCTGGGTGCATCCAACAAGATACAAAAACAAACAACAGGACGAAGACCCACGTTATGTACAGGGCTCTAAAATGAGCCGTGAATATCTACAAGGATCTAGAACATGCTGGCTGATGGGGGGGGCTGGGGTGAATGTGTGGCTTTCTAGAGTTCTCAGTCCTCAGGAAGCACAGTTAACTCGCTGGAGCTGCAGGTGCGGCTGCAGCCCGGGAAGATCTGGGGTCAATGAGGATGGGGGGGGGGGCCCCCGTGGATAGGGGAGGGAGCCGCGGCCGCACAGGACAGATCCTGGGCTTCGCTAGAAGTTCTGCCGCGGGGTGTGAGTCAGGCTGTGCCGCCGCAGATCACAGTTTCGCCTGAACACTTTGCCACACTGCTCGCAGCTGTAAGGCTTGATGTCTGTATGGGTGAGAAGGTGAGTTTTCAGATTACTTCTCTGATTAAAGGTTCTTCCACATGTGGGGCATTTGTGTGGAGATTCCTGTTCAGATGTGAAGGAAGCAAGGCAAAGGATTAATCCTTCACACCACCACCGGTACCTTCCTCAACAGCTTCCGTCTTATCTGCACCAAGCCTTAACAAAACAAGCGCGGACAGCAAAAGAAGGGACCTGCAGGGACAGATCTGTGCTCCTAATCCGCCCATCGTCAAGCACGCGCGCAGGCGCCCGCGGAGGCCCGATGGCACTGATAAGACCACCTCGGTGGGCCGCGTATTTCATCGCCACGTCAAGGGCAGGAAAGGGGGAGGGGCTCTAACCCACTCCTAAGGAGCCGCATTCTCCCGGGGAATGAAGCTCGTGTTTGTTGGAAAATTAAACTGTTCCTCAACGTCCTAAATTATGAGACCCCTGGGAAAGAGAGCATATGGGATTTCACCACGGCTCCATTGTCAAAATTACCTTTATTTCCTCCCAAAACACGGAAGTTTTAAATGCAGAGCACATGGGAGTGAAAATAATAATAACATTACGATTTATTATAAATCGGCTGGCCTGTTCGTAGAGAAAAATTCTCATGTAATATTAATCTTATATTTAAAAAAAACAAGTGTTGCCTCACCCTCCCTGGAAAACTAATCTAAAAAGAGCCTTAAGAAACAGACACTACCTCGGACGCTTTTTGCATTCATTTTGAAAGGAAGAAAACGGACTTACCTGCATATGTAAAGTTTTGTGAACTGCTAGAGTTCTAGACTGACAAAATCCTTTCCCACACTCCTGACATTTGAAGGGCTTTTCTTTGGAATGGATATACCTGAAAATCAATACAAGGTTCCATTGAAATGATCGCCCCTGAGGTTTGGGATATGCTTTCCACAATTATGCCAATGAAATTTGGAGAGGGCAAAGGAATCGCTGTGTCTATTATTGATGTTGTTTTTAGGTTTTCTGTGTAATCTGTTTATAGTTAACCTCAACTAACAGACTTCTCTGAAACATTGACGGGCGGTCTGGCTTCATCTACACTTGACCGCCCTCTCTGGCCTATTTCTGGAGCTCCAAAAGCTGCCCCCGAGAACCTTTCTAGGCCTCCAGGCTTTTCCCTGGGATTTAAACTGGCCAAATCTAAACGGAAAGGAAGGCTGGATGGGATGGGGGCTGGTTTTGAGAATGACTTGACAAGAAAGTTCCACCTCAGAAGTCACAGATACATTTCGGCGAAACCTCCACACCCCTATCATGGGAATAATTTCAACCGGATAGATATCCTTTACTAATCCAGGGTGTGAGGATGGTGGAAACTGTTGCTTAAGACAGTGACATCTCAAGACTCCCTCAAAGAATAAAAAACTCTGTGGGGGGCACGTGTGTGTATGTGTGTGTGTGTGTGTGTGTGTTGTGAGGGGGGACTCAATAGATTCTCCAGAAATGGCTCCACAGCAGCCAAAACGGGCATCCTTCCACCCACCCAGTTGGAAGGACTCCGGGATCCCCCACCCCCACCCCGAGGCCTTTTCACCCCTCACTCAGTACAGAAGGAATAGAATTACTGAGTCCTAGGCCAAGGCCAAGCTGCCATATTTTTTTTCCTGCTAAAGGGCAGAGGAAGGCCCCTTCTCATCCCAAAGAAGCAGCGGGGGGCAGGCTGGGGGGAAAGGTAAGCACCGTGGTCCACTGAAACTGGCTGGGGATGGGGATTTGGATGCGTAATCCCTAATTGAGGGGATTTTAGTGACACTTGGAATGCCTAGGGCAAATTCTCCCTCCTTCCCACATTCCCTCCCGTAGGTAGTTCCCAGCCTCACCTGTGATCTCGTAGGTGATCTTGCCTCCGAAACGCCTTGTGGCAGATGTCACACGTGTACGGTCTCTCATCCGTGTGGGTCCTCTCGTGGATGAGCAAATTGTAGGATTTGGTAAAGTGTCTGCCGCAAAACTTACAGATAAACTCCTTTTTCGTTTTGGAGGGCAATCTCCCTCGGGAAGGTTTTCTGTCCGGAGCCAGTTTACTGAGGCCCGAGATGGGGCTGCCCAGCCCGGGGCTCAGCTTGGTCAGGTCTCCCATTTTAGGGGGGTCTTCTTGCGTGGCGGCCACCGCCAAGTTGGCAAAGTCAAAACGGGGCCGGTCCTTGTGCAGGGCTGGAAGTACGTGGGCAATGGCACCCTGCTTGGGGTGGAACAGGTGGGTGGCAAAGGGTAGTGCGGGGAAGGGGAAGCGAGCGTCCATGAGGCCCTGTGCAGCAGCCATCTCCGTGATGGTGGAACGGGTGATCTCGTGCATGTTGGGGTACCCCAGCGTCCAATGGTTCATGTGCATTGTCTGCACAGCGCTGAGCCCGTACAGGCCCTGAAGGTGGTCCACCGCGGCGGGGAAGGTGTTCACTGCCTGCAGGAAGGAGTAATTCGTGAGCTGCAGCGATGGGTGGAGTGGGATGGGCGCTGGCAGGGCCTTGCTCCCCATCTTCCTGATGGTTCCGGAGGGGTGCAGGGAGCCGCCCCTTTCTTCCAGGTCTCAGAGGCCGGCGGGCGTGAGAGAAAAAAGAAAAGAAAAAGCAGCACGCAGAGGAAACCCTAAAAATGTCCAGGGGGAGAGAGGGCGACACCGTGATTATTATCCGTTGAGTACTTGGGCAACCGCGAGGGTTACATCTCCTAAGTTCCCTTCTCCCTGGTCTCCCAAACCTCGAGACTTCACATCCTGGGCAACAAGTGGCCCTCTGGCGAGCGGGTGGTAGGAAGATCGGATTCCGGGTGAGGGGACTCCGCCCGGGGAAAGAAAGGGAGACTCGGGCGCTGCACCAGCCTGGACCCCTGTCACCCGCATCCTCTTAGGAGCGGAAATCAGGGGGGCCCAGAGGTCAAGGCCCAAAGGCTGGAGAGCCAGCTGCTGTCGCTCGCTGGACAAGCTTGCCAGCTCCCTGGGACGCCGCAGGTCGTGGCTCCGATCCGACCCCGAGGGCCTGGTTCGATCCATGTGCGTGGCTTTCTTCCCACTCTGTGCCCCACTCAGGTCGCCTCCCCCGCGCTTACCCGGAGCACTTTGTCCTCCCGGGCCCTAACAGTGCTCCGCTTCGCCCCACTCTGACCTCGCCGGCTTTCCTTTTCCTTCCCCTGCCTTAGTCCCATTTATCAGCAGTGACGGGCCCGCGGGAAAGAAAAGTGACACCTTGGGGGCTGGGTTCGGCCTCAGCTCACCCCTTCTCCTCAGGGGCTGCCTCTCCTCCCACCCCTTACCAAGATCCCTTCCAGATGGTTCAGACTCCAGCCTGCTTGGGGTGAGGACACCGAGTTTCTGAGGCCAGAACCCCTTTTCCTAGACTGACCGCCAGGCTCTCAGAAAAGGGGGGGGTTCTTCCTGATCTGGCACCCTCGGGAGGCCCGGGGTGGGGGTGAGCGCTCTGGAGGAGGCCAAAGGAAGGAGCCGCAGGGGGTCCTCGCAAACTGCCAGGCCTGGGGTGTGTGTGGCCTGCTGTGGGCGTCCACGCTGGGCAACCCAGGTTCCCTGGAGCGCCTCACCTGCGTCCACAGTGGGTTCACAGTCTCCCACAGCCAAGCAACCCCCTTTCATAAGTAGATTCTGCCAGCGCCGCCGCCGAGGGTGGCCTCCCAGGTGCAGGGTTTAGAGCAAGAACTTGGCCAGGCACAAGGAAGCAAGCCGGCCAAAGGCACTGCTAACCCTCAACACCTGAGGTTTGGGACTAGGCCGGAAGATGGGAGGGCCTCTTCAGCTCTCCCTGCCCTCAGAGGTCTTTCTGCACTTTCCTTCCCCCCCCCCCCGCCCCATCCAACGCGTTTACGGAGTGATGCTTGGGGCTGTCTCTACCAGCAGGCTTATAGGGGGCTGCGCTAACGACGCAAGCGCTCTGGCAAGACTGGAACTAGCTGCTTCCGCGGGCCCCCACCTTCCTCCGCTGTTTGGAACAGTCTGGAGACAAGAGATTTATTAATGAACTGCTTCTGCCTGGTCATATGTGGTCTGGGAGTTCAGGCCGGGAGTTAACGAGAGGTGTGTAACAGTCAGAGGGTCTCAGTCAGGCCATTCAACCGAAACGGTAAACTCCCATTAGTACTAAACTTTCCCACCGCACAAATCACTATTCCCTTTTGTTCCGCTGCAACCTTTCTCAGACCCCCTCCTATGGAGTGTGTGTGTGTGTGTGTGTGTGTGTGTGTGTGTGTGTGTGTGTAGGGGAGGAAGATTCTCCTAAGGTCATTGATCGTTTTCTCTTTAATTCGAAATAGTAAATTTCATCCTTATGTCCTTCTCCGTGGGTAATGAGGATCTTCTAGGGAGTCAAAACCTTTTCCCCTAGTGTTAAAAAACAGCCTCTCTCTCTAGCATAGAGAGGAAATCGAAATTATTATTTGGGTGTATTCCCAGACTAGATTTCTTAGAAATAAATAAAAGAGGCAATGAACGCATGATCCTAAGCATAGGCCGTGTAGGTCCAATATGGAGTGTTGGAATGACTATCAACATTTATGATGGTCTTTCCTTTTTTTTTTTTATTTTTAACTCTAAATGCTCCAAGTGAACTTTGCCATACAGGTCACAATTTTAATTCTGTCAAAGACCTGGGTGCCACTTTCCTCCTCCCAATAATGTGTACTGCAAAAATACACTCTTATCTGTCCGTCCCAATTTGCCACTTCATAGTAAGATTGCTTTAATTTTCAAAGGAAGAGCAAGCCAGTGTGCCCTCCGAAACCCTTTTACAATCAGAATTCCCCTAAACACCTACCAAACACCGCTGCCATAAATAACTAAGGGATTTAGGTTCCCATGTTCCTCTTCAGTGGCTAGCAATGTATGTCAAACCATCGCTTAAGTGAACGCAGAGGTCTAATGTACTTTCGTTTTGTTGGGGCTGAGTGCACACTCCATCTCAGGCAGGCGCTAACTGCGGGTCCTGTGCAGTCATTTCTCCACCGGCCTGTTTCAGAGCACTGCTACTTTTAATTTTGCGAGGAGAGAAAGTTAAGTCATGAACGGTTCAATGGAGATGAAGCCACATTTCTTTCATCGGGTTCTCAATGGAATTCCCGGGCATGTTATACGTTATTTTGTAAAATTCAGTTTCACTGGCTGTCAGCAAGGGAGAATTCTACATATTAATTTCAGTTTGGCGAAACTTCCAAAACACTGGAGAACACGGGATCCCTGGTAATTCGATAAAGACTCTTCAGTTTTTGGTAACAGCGGTGTTAAACCGAATTATCTAACAACAATCCAGTCCGGGACCATCTGCTAAACCCCGTGTTTTGATTTCTGAGTGAAATGACGGATGGATGAGTATCTTCGCTGTATTTCAGCTAGAATACAAGAGAATTTTTATATAAACCAGAGATCTCTAGTAGAAAAAGATCTAAAATCATGATGGGGGGGGTTGATCAGGTGGAGGGGAGCAGTCATGAAAGTTCCTGCCCCTTCCCCGCGCCTCTGCCCTCCCAAGGAGTTAATTAAATTAGGATGCCCTCCGCCTAATCTGGGTTTGTCTCCGCTGCCTTGCTGCCCAGACTGTTCCAGACTGCAGTTTGTGGAGTCCGCTGCAGTTAGCTCTCTGCACCCAGTTTCGCTTCGGGAGCAGTCAGCGCTTTATTTAAATCTCCGCTCACAGGTGGGGAGACCGAGCCAGCGCCTCTGCCTCCACAAACACCTTGTCCACCTTAATCTATACAACCACGATTCTTTTCCCGGATATTTCTCCACAACCCAAAAGTCTCGGCCCCCGAGGAGCTTGCTTGCTGCCCTCTCGGCAAAGGCGGGAGTGGAAGAAAAAGCAAGAGAACAGCACACGCTTGGGAGGGGGAAAAAAATCACCCATGACTGGACTATTCCCTTGTGAACTGTGCCTTCCGAGTCGCTGGCTTGACCGTCAGCACCGTGGGTTCCGGCCCTTCTGTGCTGCGAGCCAGCCGGGGCTGTTGCAGGACGCGTAGGTCCCGGCTTTCTAGAGCAGGGAAGCAACATCTCCGGATGATGCGGTTTGGCCACAAAATACGCCGATCGGCCTTTTTCTAAATCTAGCCGATGGCGTAAAGCAAAAACCAAACTAAGGGGCAGGCAGCACACAAAAGTTCGACTGGGTGTGTTAGTTGGGAGTCGCGTGCTGGGGGAGGGGGGCGGTGGAGCGGAGGAAGCCAGAAACACGAGGCCGGGACTGGGGTCCGTCCACGGGAGCGCTCCTCTGAATCTGTGGCACTCCAGGCAGAACCTGGGCGCCCCTTGAACCCCCACGACCCTTCCTTCGGTGGGGCAGCGGGCCCCGGAGACACTCACCGCCAGCGCCGAGGTCTGCCTGGGCAGCGCGGTTCAGACTAGGTCCGGGCAGCAGAGCGCACAGCTTGGAAAGGTCATGAAGTCCAAGCTGGGAGGACTTCTTTTTCGACGCGCAGTCCCGGGAGCCGAGGACATGATCTGGGGGAGCGAAGCGAGAGCGGATCGGGGTCTTCCTCAGTGCGTGCGAGAGGGATGTGTAAAGAGCGCGCGAGCTCAGCGCTCGCCCAGACCGCTGTGTCTGGGCCACTTTCTCGCCGCTGACTGCGGGTAAAGTCGGAGCCCGCAGCCCTGCAGGGCCATCACCCTCCGGCAGCGAGCACGCAGAGCAGCGTCCCAGCCCACGTCCCGCCCCAGGCTGGCCCAGGCCGGGAGTCCAAGGCTTTAGTAGCGGCCCCGCCTCCCCTCCCGGCGAGCGTCCTGAAGTGGAGTGGGGCTGCAGCACCCAGGCTCCGCCTCCACGCCCGGCGCCCGCTAATGGTCCACTCTGTTTACTTGTGTTTGGATAGCAACTGAGTCTTAAAGGCGCAGGTTTGCCTGAGGTTTCCCGGTTAACCCAGACGCGGAGCCCAAGGTGACTCAATTCAAATCTCATACACAAAGACAACGCCCAGCCCCTCGACACTTTTTCTACACTCTGTTCGAAGCTCAACTATTGGGTCTTGGCTTTTCGGAGTCCTCAGAGAAGTCCAAAGGGCATTTCTCATTTTGTACTTTTACTTCGCTAGCTCGCCCGGCTTCATTTCCACGACTTAACACGTTCCTATGGCCATCAGCTGCTTCAAAGGGCCAAAGCAACCAATTCGGATTTTGTTCTCCAGCATGTGCCGCCCTTCCCCCAGTGTAAAATAGTTCTATCCATACTTTTGATCAGTTATGGCTATACGCGTAGTCTGTTTTCCTCCTCTGTTTTCAAAAAACAAAGTTTTGTTTATGAAAGTGACAATTGACTAATTTCATAATTAGTGGCCAAGACATGTGGAATGTTCTAGAAGAAATTCCTTCCAATATCTAAGCTTTAATCAACTAATGTACATTTCATAAGCAGTTAACCAACTTGGTTAAACGAGTGGGCATCTGCGATGCATTGGCAAACAATAAAAAGAGCCCATCTGGAATGGGTGAAGAGCAATCATTTTTAAATTTTAGGAAAATACTATTCCAGTGTCTCAAAACACACATTTATCTCCACTCTCAGCAAAAATTTGAGTTCATTGTTCAGCCGCCAGCAAAATTAATCGAATTTGACGTGCAATGGTAGGCTTCCTAGCTCTCCTAAAGGTTTAGTTACATTGTGAGCATGTAAATGAAAAGGCATTCCAGCCCCTCTGGAGTAGAGTGACAAGTAATGACAGGGATCCACACCAAGAGCTTCGTTTCAGATGAGAAGCGCCTGAACAGAGCTAAGCAAACCGTCTTAGGTCTCAAAGTCATTGGAAGACACCTACGTTAAACGGGTGTTTGAGGGGCATAGATCTGTTTAGAGAAACTGTACAGTTCAAACGCCTTCCGCCAAAAGATGCTTCTCGGTCACCCTTCTCAAAGGACAATTGCAGTAACCTCAACTGTGCGGGAAGTGGACAGACGTTAGCAGAACGCTAAGGGGCCGTCAAAGGCTAAGCACAGACGCCATGCAAACCATCCCAGGTTAAGGCAAAAGCCTTTTTATTTTAATGTTGTCAAAGTGAATATAAATTTCCGTTTCTTTGGTAAAACATAAATTCAGGAGCAGCAGGTCGTCCTCCCCCCCCCCCCCCGCCTCTTTCCAGTTTTGGGTTCACAAGCTTTACACAGTGAGCCTGGGGCGGAGAGACTCAGTGTTGCTCAGTATCTTGCAAGGTTTAACTACTTCAGATTAGGCGAACAGCATGGGAGTAGGAGACCGCCTCGGGGAGTTCGGGGGTTTAAAAAAGAAAGAAAGGAAGGAAGAAACCTTTCCCGAGTGGGTTGCCTAGGGTGCTTTCATTTTAGCGCTTGGTCTTGAGCCTCAGCTCCCAGGATGCCTGCGGTTCCCTCTCTTCAACCACCTCATTCCTTCCACAGCCTTTCTCAATTTGGAGAACGGGAGGGAACTTTCTCTTTATTCAGACCCCCCAACCCCCCCCCCAGGACATACACGCAGCGGGTGGTGACCTGAGCCCTGCGCCCGCTCTTGCTGGCCCCCTTTTCCCTTGGAAGAGGCAACCTCTCCTGCAGCGGGCTTCGCACCTTCACGCCCGGCGTGCACAGGGTACCGCTCCTCTCGCTTTTCCCCTGGGGTAGACGGAATTTCAGACTTCCCACTAGCTGTATCCCTTTCCCCCAAACCTCCGGAGCCAGGGATTTACGGTAAAGATGTTTACCTCGAGCAGGGCAGCCTCGGATGACCTCTTGGACCGACCCAGCCCCAGCACTGCGGTGGCTGGAAAGGTAAGGAGGTGTCCGAGAGCTCGCACCTTGGTGCGGAGCTGCGCGGCCTGGAGAGCCCCGGCGGCCTGCGGGCCCTGCGGCCGGGATGGGCAGGTGCAACCAGCCGAGCTTGCAGCCGAGCGCTGCTCAGCGCCGCCGCAGCCCTCCAGGCTGCCGGGCGCTCACCTGGAACCCTCACGGGAACTTCGGGGTGCTCAGATCCTGGGGGCCCCAGCGTCTTGGGCGCACTGGTTCAAAGAGTCCGCCCATGAGTCGCTCGCTCGCCAGCTGGACCCTCAACAATCCCGGTGCAGAAAAAGCTGGCCCACCCTGCTACCAACAAGCTGTGGGGTCCTGGCGTGCCGCAGCCCAGGTCTCGGAGTCAGCCGCAGCCCAGCTGCGCCCCCAGGTCTGAGTCTCCGCGGAGCTGTCCCAGCTCCCTCTGGAGCTCAGATGTTTGTTCATTTGGAAAGTCTCACGAATGAATCCGGTCAGCTGCTGTCCTCACCGGCCCTGGGCTTTCGACACCGGGGAGACTCGCGGGGGAAACAGCTAACACAATGATCTAGAGCGGGCTTTGCGGTTGCAGCCCCAAACTCAACAGCAACATTTACGCTATGGAAGGAAGGGACAAGGCCTAGCACAGGAACACTCAGGGGAGCTGGGAGTGGTGGTGGTGTGCAGTGCAGCCCCTCAGCCCACCCAAGAGTCTGCGGGTGGAGCAGCAGGTGTCACACACAGATTCCCTGGAGTTGACTGCGCGCAGCGAGCATGCTAAATAACTTGCACCGCTTTGAAACCAAATTACTGAAAGCTTATCTTCCTCCCAACCCCCCCCCCAGGACCCCTCTGAGGGCCGGCTTCCGGGCCCCTTAGCTTTCCCCAGCCTCTGCGGAGCGGAGATCTTTCGCTGTGTTTTGCAGCAGCCAGTGAGTGCACGCACTCCAGTCACAGAGCAATGAGGGGGCGGAAAGGCTGGCACGCCTTAGTCGCGGAGTTGAGGGTGCAGAGGTAGGGGGCCAGGCTTAAGAATTCCATCTTCTAAGAAAGTGTGGCTGCTGGGTCTCGGGCTCTCCTTTGGGGCAAGGTGGGAAAGCGCGCCGGGGCAGGCTGTGGCTCCGCTGCCGGCTAGAAGGGCCGCAGCGCCCCCTGGAGGCGCACGCCGAACACTTCGTGGCGTGGGCTCCTGGCTTTGAGTGTGTGGCCTCCAGCGATCTCGCTCACCCCTTGCTTCCTTTGGCTTGAACCCGAACCCTTTTGCAGGAGAGGGATAGTAATGTGTACAGCAGGCAGCTAGTCTAATACCCCAGCCATGGGTGCTCGCCCTGGCTATTCCAAGCCAGACTTTATTGACCAGTCCAGGCGCCCTTGCTGGACCATACCCACTAAAGAGATGTGAGGAGGGTTTTTTGTGCTCACAGGTACCCTCCTTGTGTCCTCGCTCTTCACTTAGCTTCATCCCATCGGAGTATGCAGCATACACACTCTGACTACTACCTCAAGAGACACCAAGTCACACGAAGAGGGAGCAGCTTGGCCTAATTTAGAATCTCAGGGAAAGCTTCCTGACCAAGCCTAGAGGGGGGCGGGGGAGGGGGGGCATGCAGACCCAGGGCTCTGGTCCAGTCTGTCTGAATTGTCAAGTTCAGAGCTAAAACAAAGCCATCCCAGAGACCTGTCACCAGGGCCGGAGTGCCCCAATGCTTTTCTGCCAACTAGAGTATCACAGGTCTCCAGGCTCACAGTCTGGTCCAGGTTGGGAGAAGGGCGCAGGACCAGTGGAACAGTGGGCCGGATCGCACAAGTACTGGGCAAGACTGGCAAGAGTTGGTTCTGTGTCTCAAGACCAGTGCAAGGAAAGCATGATTCCCAGGATGCATGTGTGGTGACACGGAAGGCTTTGTACTCCTAGTGTCCCCAGGAGCGGCTCTCCTACAGTTAGTTCCCCGTATGTAAAAAGAGCCAGGTCAACTCCTAGGTGAGAGCATAGGCCAACGACAGCTGTCAACTCTTGGTGCTGAACTGGTCAGTATCAGCAACTAGGAAGACAGCAGAGGTCGAGAGCCAGGAGCATCCTAGGAGACTGTGGAACCAGATGAGTTCTCATGCCCTGAAAAGAGACAGCAGCTGGGAACCTGTGCTTTATCAGGCTTTCATGTGGTGTGTGTGTGTGTGTGTGTGTGTGTGTGTGTGTGTGTTTTAGCATTAGCTTCCCAATGCTAAAACGATGGAAATTCTAACAGAAATCTCGATTTCCAGTGAATTCCAATCCTCCTGGCTGAACTGCAGCCACTCTCTCCTGCTTCTGACTTTTGTGTTTGAAAATGCTGGCCGGAAGACAGCCTAGCATTTCCCGTTCTTCACAGTAGGCAGGAGATTTACATTTCTCGGTGTGGTCTGTTAGCATCACATTTGGCTTGTGAGAGGAGCCAAATGTATTTATTGCCTCACCTACTGAGTCAGAAATGGGAGTGAACCCAGCAAATTGGATTTAAATAAGTCCTCCAGGTGAATAGGAGGCACTATAAAGTTGGAGAACCACTGACCCCGGTCAAATCGACATTCGGGGGCAATGGTGGAAGCCCCATTCAGCTCTCAGGCTCCCTCTTTCCCCCTCCCTACACTTTTCTCTCTTCCTTTCCTGGGGAGAATATACATTTAAACATTTGGCCTGGGGCAGCTCGCTCATTCATTCGCTGCTTTATTCATATCGTCACCCTCTGCTCTACAGGGGCAAATTCAAGATCCTTGGAAACCTG